CCCCAAAAAAAAAAAAAAAAAAAAAAGAAAGAGAGAGAGAGAGAGAGAGAGAAAGACATAGTATGCCCAGAAGGTCTGCTCTATTTTATTGATGTATGAATATATGTACATATGCACCTAGATACCTATGCATGCATATGTCCTCATACACACACAGTATATATTTTTTATACAAAGCAGTATGAAATCAGAATGTCATCTAGTTTATATTTAGATTGTATATGAAACCTATGGCATAATGTTAAATATAACTAACATTCATGATGCTTTTAGGTTATTTGGGATGCTATTTGTTTATTTTTCTACTGCTGTGTACCTAAGTCATTGGCTCTCTAGTATACTTAGGCTTATTCAGTTAACATTGAGTATATTCTCAAATATTGCAATGCCATTCAGTGATTGTATGCAAAATGATAAACAGCTATTTTTTATTAGAAGAATGAATATTAAAAACAATTATGTTATCAAGTTTTGCAAAGTCTTATTTTAGAATAAAACCATTAGTTTCACCTACTAACTTATTTTTGTAGCATCTTTTCCAGGATCATAAATTAGCTCTTTCACTTCTCTCTCTCTCTCTCTCTATTTTTCTTTCTTTCTATTGATTTTTAATTTTACAATTCCACATTCCAATCCTTGATGATTTCCAATTTTTTATTATAGAAACTTAAAACATTTGCAAAAGTAATTTTAAAGAGATTTTAAAAAATGGGAACTTTAGTGAATATGTTAATTCCTGAAAAATAAATGTATTAAGCTGCTTTGCATTTTGGAATTTTATGAAATCCTATGAAGCTTTAAATATTTATTTGCTATGAAATATGACTAGTTTCAAAATGTAAATGAATGCTCAGCCTTTCACTGCCAAGTCTATATTTTATTAACTTTGAACAAATAGGGAAATTATTATTATTATTTATTTATTTATTTATTTATTTATTTTGGTACCTCGGATTGAACTCGGGCCCTTGCGCTTGAAAGGCAGGCCACCAAACCACTGAGCTAAATCTCCTGTCCAATTATTTTTACTTAATACAATTTTGAGAAAGCTTTAGAGAAAATTTCCTGAATTAGATGAAATTTTGTATTAATTGAATTCACATATACCAATAGTCATCATATGCAAGAATTAGGTCATGTTAAATAGCATTACTTTATGGGTATGTTACATTTCAAAAGCAATATAGTTTCCACTTGAAAATGAAACATAAAGAAAATAAATTATTCCAGTGTATAAACTTTTAAATCAGAAATAAAAATTCTTATTTTTTGTGAAAATTCTTTATTCCATCTGAATGTAATATTATCTCTCACTAAAAATTTTACTCAAATATGTTTGTTTTCATTTTCCTTTGCATTATGGTATATACTTAGACTTTCATATTTTTGTAAATGAATGTATAAATATTAAGCTAGAAATGACAAGAGATAGAATGGTACCATGTAAATATTATTTTAGTGTTTGATAAGCAGTTGTGGTAATAAGGTTGCTAACACCAATGATTCATTAATGTAAAAATCAGAACTATTTCTTTCAGAATTAATTCAGATTATATGAAAATTTGTTGTGGGTATTATTTCATGTATACACTACCTTACACTTCTAGAATAGTACCTGCAAGCTAAAACATGTTAAACATGGCTATATTTGAATTGACATTTGGTGAATCTTAAGAATTCAACAATAAACAGATAAGTAATTTAAAAATTTTGATAACAATGGTTTACATGAAAATACTATATAGATTCATACTTCAGATTTTGAAATTTCAGCACATTGGATTGATTATGAGGTTGGATTTAAGAATGAGAATTGTCAGATTTTGAATCTTGGGATTTAGTTTAATATTGTACTTCTCTTTGTGTGATTATTTACATAAGATTCAATGCTTCATTCTTTAAAAAGGAAACAGGATCTCCATAAATATAAAATAACAGAGGTGGACTGGGAATTTAGCTCAGTGATGCCAGGCCTGCCTTGCAAGGGCAAGGTCCTGAGCCTGATTCCCCCCAAAATGAATAAATGAAACAAAATAGTAGAGGTGATGTATTCAAAGTGCTTCATATATTAATATGAATTTACACATCTGTACTCATAAGTTATATATAAGCAGTTACTCTTATTAATTATGTACCATCGTGTAACTTTCTGTATGATTATTACTTCTTTTTATGATTTTCTAGCTGTAATTTTTCAGATACTTTTATGTACTTTTGATATTGATAAACCCTAGTATGTCTTTTTGACTGTCATGTAAATGAGTAGCTCCTTCTTGGGTTCTGCTAGCTTATAATTTAATATCCTCTTCCACTCCAGACAGACATAGCCCACTAAGCGAAGATATCTTTATTGGATGCCTACTTTCATACAAGCATGAAATATTGAGCCAACACTAGTCAATAGGCTTGGTCTCTCCAACTGGATAATATCCTTCAAAGGTGTGAGGAAAAATTAAATTAGCATAACTAGATTGGTGATTATCAATAAAATTATTTTTGAAGTCGTTTAAGCAGATAAATTATTAACTAGCAAATTATAGTCATTGTGACCAAAGTTTTCAAATATTAATCCTACAAAAAACTTAATCTTTCAAAATAGATTATTACATGCCTTATATATTTTAACAGATATCTTTGAGATTATTTTCTTTGAAGTAAATTACACTATGATAAAAATTGGTGTGAAAATGTTATAAAAATTTTGCATTTCCTAAACTCTTCAGAAATATGTTCCAATTTTCTCTAGAGAAATTAACAAGTAAAAATATTTATAAAAGTTATGCTATTTTAGCAGTTCTACAAAAACTAAAGAAATTTTACATTAAGTAATAATAATAGTCAGAAAGCATTTAAGTAATTAATGATAGTCACAAAGCAAATTCATCTTAATAATAATCATTAAAATAATCTATAAAACTCTTAAAAGATTAAGAATTTGATAATTGTGATCTACTTATTCCTTTTTACTGCATGTATTTTCCAAGGTACACATTAAAAAAAACTATCATAGTAGGCATGTTTTTTCCTATGGAACTATGTAATAGAATGGAGGCGGCATTTCCATTTATCCACTTTTGCCAGTCTCAATGCATTTGGATGAATGGTCCTTGAGAAATTTTTCTACATTTATTAAGGTGTGATTAAATTACAATAACCTGAAAATATTAAATGTGTACCATTTGATCAGTTGTGACTTATGTACCTCTGAATTGTCATAATTAAGAAATGCCATCCCTCTCATAGAAAATTTTCGTTATGAACTTTTATGATTCAACCTTTCTTTCACCATAATTCCAGACAATAATTCCCCTACTCCAGCTTATCAGCAATGCCCCTGAATATATGCTTTTTTAGCTTGGGTATTTTCACTCAGTATCATCATTTTGAAATTTATCTATGTTTTCATATGTATCTTTTTTTCTTGTTGAGTAGAATTTTAATATATGGCTAAACCAAAATTTGCTCATTGATTCACTCTACTCATAGGTATTCTAGTAGTTTCCAGATTTTGCCTATACATATAAAGCTGACATGAATGTCCATGTGTAGATTTTGTTTGGCCATCTATTTTTGTTGTTTGGTTAAGTATCTAGAAGTAGTATGCCTGGATTATTTGGTAGCTGTACAGTTGGCTTCAAAAACATCTTTTTTTTTTCAGCTTTAATTGAGTTTA